TAAATCTAAGGATCTTTGATTTCAAGTTGGATGAATTACTTAACTACTCGATTCAGATCCAAAGTGGAAGCATGAAGAATTTTGACATTTTGCTTGTAACGCCAGATACAATTTTGAACACACACATTATTTAAGAATAACTGGTCTAGGAGAAAAAAGGAAAAAAGAATAATTGGTCCATCCAAGTGATATTTGGGGAGGAGGGTGGGTATGTCAGGTGGAATTGTTATTACCAGTTCACGTGCAAACTTTCCAAGACTCCATGCATATGTGTTAAATGAAAACTAAGATCAGGAAAATTGAAAAGGTGGATTAATATTATCTTATGGTGAGCACTGAAGCCATGGAGTACATCACATTTCCCCTCACCGCCTCCCCAGGCACACTAGAGGAGTCCACCTCTGCTGGATGAGAGTGCCAAGCACACAATTTGCATGCTAAAACTTGTTGCTGAATTTCATTGTCAAGGCAGAGTTTAGACATTTGATATCGGCAGTAAACTGACTAAGACATGGCCCTTCAGCGTGGGGAGCTGAAAGGGATAGGTGATGGAACATTTTGGTTGACGTTTCAGCCATGAGATTAAAACTCATCCAATGACTACTGTCATAATTGCTCTTTTGGTTAATAAAGAAACCGAAGTGATGAGGTATGGACTAATCTCAGAATACTTGAATATTCTGCTAGCCAATTTATATTTGTTGAGAACAAACCAAGTACCATGCTAAATAGTACTAAACCATACATGAGTTTATTTAATGCTCACGAAACCGTATGAGGTTATTCATGTTCCTCTTACCATTTTATAGAAGAGGAAATTAAGTTACTTGGCCAAAGTCTTCAGCTAGCAAAAATTAAACCCAAGATCTGAACAAAGGAAATCTACCTTCATATACAACATACTCTAATGATAGTCCATCCCAGTGAAGTCATTGATAATCTCCACTATAATGATAATCATAGAATGAACATAGGCTCTCCCCTTCACTTTGATGGAGGATCATGGAGGTCTTGTCTCATTTTTTAAACTTTCGTAATATTACTGCACTGCTTAGATATTTCACTATGTATAAATACTGATGATCACTGTAATAGAATGACGAATGTACTAGTGTGAACATTTGAAATGGTGTTTACTCTTTGTATTGAGAGCAAAATTATATTAAGCATCGTATTAAGTATACATAAATTACTTTGAGATATCCACTGGTGTGTGTTCATGTGTGGTTTTTATGTTTTGACAAGAAAAATCTAGTTTTCAAAATTTAGGACAAAAGTCATGGCAATCTTGGACATGTTAACATAGAAATGTGCAAAAATGAAAGCACATTTACTTGTTTTATACATTGTTATGTTTAGAAATATTTGAATAAGTTTTGTGATCCACCTTAAGCGTTTACCTTGGAGTAGTTCTACGGCCTGCCATGGTACTGATACTCCTCTTGTCAGACCCTGTGTAGCTAAATAGGTGTTGAGTTCCCTGTGGGCATGCATATTATCTGTTCCTAGCATAAATCATTTAAAAGGACAGCTTGAAGTTGTCAAATTCTTGCTGATGTTATTATATGTCCCATTACTCATAACCGGAGTACCTTGTTACTTTACATCTGGGTCTCAGAAAATAAAAATCTTTTGCTTTTGTAAAACAAAATGTGAATAGATCAAACGCTGATTATGTTTGAACATGTTGACCATCGTCATTCACATTAGCATTTAGATTTCTTATTTTGTCTCTAATTTCATTTGAAACAGTTATCTGAGGATTAGACTCATTTAGTTATCGATATTTCTGCATGTGGTTTATTCTCAGTGCCATGGAGTGTTTTGCTCTGTGTGTGTGTGTGTGTGTATGTGTGTGTGTATGTGTGAATCTTGTTTGCTTGCTTTAGATTTTCAGACTGTCCACTGGTATTCAGGCGAGTATGTTCTATAGTTAATATTCAGAGCCATTTGAACAATCACTTGAAACAAGATATTTGAGGAACTACAGTAGTGAGTCTTCAATCAGAAACCCCTGTTAGAAAAGAGATGGAAATAGTAGTATAAAAGCAGGTTTCCTTAGCAAGATTTACAGCATTATAAATGCCAGGAAACTTCACCTCTTCAGATTTCTGTGACCTTGTGACACAGATGTTATAGAATGGCGCTAAACCATATTTTCACCTTGTCCCTAGACTACTGCAAACAATATTCTGATTGATGACATCTTCTGACTCATCTATAATCTTAAGGCCCATAGTTTTATCAGAGTCCATTAGCAAAGCAAAAAGGCATATATATATATATATATATATATATATATATATATATATATATATATGGTTTCTAAAATATACAGAATGGTTAGATCATATCCTTATTATTCACAGAGTCATGAAAGCATGGCAATTCAGAAGGATGACAAATATTATCTCACCAGGTGGGAGTAAAGTGAGGAAATTCCCAACTGAAGGCCTGTGCTTAAGAATTACAATGTCATTTATTTCAAAACTTAGACTCGTCATCACTGAAGAATATAAAAAAATATTGGTGTTTATGTGAGAGAAATATTAAATTGCATGGCCATAGTTGGCCTGTCAGAAAATGAGATTAAAACAATTCCTGTTGTATAGATCTGCCAGAAACAAAATATAAGGGAAAAAATGCTCCAGTAAAATCTATCAAATTTTCGGTTAAACTGTAAATCTAATCAGTATTGATTGCATGAAAATTTAGAATTCATATATGTCCTAAAAAACCCGTTTTCTATTTTTAACTGGATATTAAGACTTTAGGAGATTAAAACAGATATAAAATAAGTATTGATTCCTTTTCTTGATAAAGCTCAGTCCCTTAAAAGAGATTCATTAGAATGTGGCTTTTTTGCTGCTTTTCTTTTGTTGTTTGCTCTGACATTTATTATGGCAGAAGTTGTACTATTTAATTTTTTTTTTACATTTTATTTATTTTTGATAGAGAGAGACAGAGCACAAGTGGGGGAGGGGCAGAGAGAGAGGGAAACACAGCATCCGAAGCAGGCTCCAGGCTCCAAGCTGTCAGCACAGAGCCCAACGTGGGGCTGGAACTCACAAACCGGGAGATCATGACTTGAGCCGAAGTCGGAAGCTTAACCGACTGAGCCACCCAGCTGCCCCAGAAGTTGTACCATTTTAAACACCAAATTATGATTTAGTTTTCATTTTCCATCAGTATCCTTGGCACATTTCCAGGGGAATAAAAACATATTTGTTGGAATACAAGCATGTAATTCTAGTTATTTTTGCAATTGACACAAAGTTTCCATATATTGAAACAGATTATTTTAGCCTAGTAAAAACTGTTTTATCATCATATGTTATTATTTTATTCATAATAATTTGGAATTCATTACATAGAGATGTCTTTAAAGCACATCTTTTTTTTTTCTTTATGTAATCTGTCAATACCTTCCATACATATCAAGGATGATAACAGCTTTTAAACTTAGTAGAATTAGGGGAAATTATTGACACATGTATGCTATGTCTGTGTAGATTTAGTGCACAAATACTTTTATTCAAATATTTTAACGTAATCTATGCAACAAAATGCTTTCGAGGGCAAGAAGATAATTCATGGGTGATTGTGTGTGTGTGTGTGTGTGCGTGCGTGCGTGTGTGCGTGATCAGATTCAGTGGTCTCTTGTTCTTAGTAGAATTCATGACACTTGGGAGAAAATCTTTGTATGCTGAGATGTTAGTGCTTATTTAGCCTAGAAATAATCAGCATTTTCACAAGAAGAACCCCTGGTGGGTTACGGCATATGCAATTCACGTGCAGCTTTGAGCCAAAAAGAAACATAAAATATTAGCAGTTAAGAAGAATTTTTTTTTTCCTGGTTTCATGGTATTGAATCATTCACTTTTGATTTTCTTCGCTAGGACGAATTTACTCTATTATTAAACAGAATTTTCAACAGCTGGTTCGAATGACAATAATTGTTGAAGGAAGTCATTGGGCAAAAGAATAATTCTATGAGAGCATTTATAACTAAACAAAACACAGGGAAACATGGAAAATACTCATATGGAGTGTATATAAAAGACATTTTTCCTTTTTTAAATTTATCCCACAAATAATTAACTGGGAGCACAATGAAGCGAGGCTTTAATCAACATTCTTGCAAGAACAGGTGTCTGACAACAGACAGCCATGCTTGGGGCAGCTACAGCAGACAATTTATTCCTGGCATGCATCCCCCTCCTCTGATTTCCCCATTGGCTGAGTACTACGGAGGTTACAGCCTTACCCGGAAGTCGCCTATGGCCACCTAACACAAAAAGTACGTTCCTTGAGGTGACCCTGAGACTTCAGTTCTTTGGCGCGTGCTCATTAGAAAGCCCGCGAAAATAAGCCCATGATGGAGAAGGGAAGAAGAACCGGAAGTGAAGTGTCTAAGGGTTTGGGACTCCGTTTGGGGGGGGAGGGGTGGTTCGCACATATTTCCAATAGGTCTAAACCTACTGTTAACTAGACGGTACTGCTTTTATTTGGTATTTCTGAAAATGAAACATCTCACCTACTTCTCACAAAGGTGAACCACATTCAGGTAAACAGTATACTTTATAAACCCTAGAGACCCCACTAAAAACACAAAAAGAAACAATAATTGATTATACATCATGGGAAATAATTGAAATAAAATATTCTCCTAATAAGAAATCATAAGAAAGAAATATAGAAGTAATAAATGCAATGTTGAGAATTTAATGAAAGTATATGGTTAATTATATGAAAGAGTAAATTGTCCTAAGAATCTAGTTGATAAACAGAGATAATAGGTGTTATAAAATAATTCCCAACTATATGATTTCCACAAGACAGAATCCACAAAAGACACACACAGATATGATGGGCAGAATTCTGAGGATGCTTCCTTCAAGATTCCCACCTCTTGGTTATTAAATTAATCAATAATCTGCTGAAGGAAGTTTGTAGATGTAATTAAATTTTTACACCTTATAATAAGGAGAGTATTCTGTGTTTTTCAGGTGGGCCCTATCTAATCACCTGGGCCCTGAAATGCAGAGAATTTTATCCAGCTGGAGTCACAGAGATATGGCAGGCAGGGAGGCAGCAGAGAGATAAAAATGTGAGAAAGACTTGGTCTGCACCACCAGCTGTAAAGTTGGAAGAAGGGGGCCATGGGCTGAGTGGTATGGCTGAACTCGAAGAAGCTGAGAATGACCCCACACCAAAACCTAGCAAGAAAATGAGGACCTCAGACTCACAGGCTTGTGGCACCAAGTTTTGCCAAAAAATGGACTCACTTGGAATCAGATTTATCCACCAAGCCTCCAGCAAAGGAAGCAGCCCTGCTGTCGTGATTTGTTCATGCACATAAAACCTGGAGTAGAGAAGGCTGAGCTACCTTGCGCCCAAACTCCCAATCCACATAAACTGTGAGTAAATAAATTCGTGTGGCTTTAAGACAAAAATATGTGATAATGTGTTACAGCAGCAATAGATAAATAATACACTTTGTAAAGGATAAAAAAAAATACACTATCAAATAACAATCATAAGAAAGCTGAAGTCGGGGCACCTGGGTGGCTCAGTTGGTTGAGTGTCTGACTTCAGCTCAGGTCATGATCTCGTGGTTTGTAGGTTCGAGCCCCGCATCAGGCTGTGTGCTGACAGCTTGCTCAGAGCCTGGAACTTGCTTTGGATTCTGTGTCTCCTTTGCTCTATGCCCCTCCCCCACTCATGCACTGTCTCACTCTCTCAAAAATAAACAAATGTAAAAAAAAAATTTAAAAAGAAGCTGAAGTGGATATATTAATATGATATATATTATATGTAGATTAATATCAGGCAAAGTAGATTTGTGATAATAATGTTACCACAGTTTTTCACATTGATCAAAGGATTGACTCATTGAGAAGAGAGAGTCATCTTAAACATCTATACACCTAATAACAGTGACTTAAAATAAAAGAGCAGAAACTGACAAAAATTAAAGATAAGTAGACAAAGCTACCATTCATTTTGGAGACTTTAACATCCGAATGTCAGTAGTGGGAAGAATGTGTACACAAAATAGACATAAACAGATGTCAATGTTGCAGAAGGCATGCCAGTACTAAAAGATTTAACTTAAATGACCTTATGAACCACTACACATACTAATTAATAGCATTACATGCATTCTTCGCAAAGAACAGAGAACGATCACCACGATAGATCACATGCCAGGCCATGAAATGAATCTCAACAAACTAAGAGCATACTTAAAATCATATGTGGTGTATTCTTTCTCCATAAACAAATGAAACTGTCGACCGGTAACAAAGGGATGCCTGAGAAATCTCCAAACGTTTACAACAAGGAACACACAACTAAGTTAAATTGGGTCAGAAGAGAAATTACAAGCAGCATTAGGTGATGATGCGAACTAAAAGATATAAATAAATACATACATATCACTCAACATTTCTGATGCGGCCTAAATGAAGCTGTTCAACTTTCCCTTTTTGTGCTGTTATTCACAGTTTTTTTTTTTTCTGTTCCACTCTGTTGCAGTTTCTTAAGTGTGCCCCTGAGCTATCTCAGAGCAGTTTGCGCTCATGGATAGCTGCCTGATTTTGGTGGGAGGGGAGAGAGGCTGGGGTCTCCTACTTTGCCATCTTTGTGACAGCTGAAAACATCCAAGGGGTACATTTGAAAGCAAAGGAAACAACACTTCAAATGTTGAGTCGAAAGGGAAATAAATCACTAATTTGGGGTATAATTTAAAATCTATTGTAACTTCCTGATTTTTTTCAACTTACGGATGAAATAGGCTTTATTATGATAACTGTAGCACTTGAAAATATATAGCACTCAGAGATAATTTCAGTTAACTTGGGTTTTGTGTTTGGAAACCCTGACTACCTATTGCAGCATTATGTTTAATCTGGAGGCAATAAACCAAAATCGACACAGGCTTTTTCTCTTTCTCAAGCTCTCCAGTATATCCAGTACACAATAATTGTTTTAGAGATCATTTCCAGTTATGATTTTACCAGAAATACAATGCATCTGATCATCTCCTAAAGATAATTTGAGTGGTTTCATTATCCTATATATACAACTTATCAAACCTGCCTTCTAAATCGGTGTACATTTCATCAACACCAGTAAAGCTTGCATAAATAAAAGCCTTATAAGTCTTAAGTGATAATTACCACAATCTAATGAATTGCATAAATCACTTATAATGAAGGGAAATAAACAAGTATGCTAAGATGAGCACATTAATAACTTAGGTTTTTCAAAAGCAATGAGTAATTTAATTTATATAGTATGTCCACAGACAGTAACAACTTGAATTTTATTTGTGAAATAATTAGTTGTTAATCTAAAGGGATACGACTTATCTACCAGCAATACTTTAAACTGAAAAATCAAGATGAATTTTATCTTTGATGAAAATTATTCTGATAATACCCCATGATTTGAAAGTCAATATAAAGAGGGAAAAATGAAGATTGATTTAAGTTCATACTGACAAGCCTAGAATTTATTCCAAAATATGAATTAGCATGCTTCACAATTCCAAGTAATTTGTGATGTGCTATAATTTTTAGTGATCCACTCACTCAAGTGCTAATTGGATTTTATTTTTTATATATTTATGAAGGAATGGAGGGAATTTATTACTTCCTTCTTTAACATTTTAATTTGGGTCATGAAAAATGCATTATTCATTCATGAGGTACACTTTCATTGGTTAAAAGAATATTCTCCCAGGTAACAAAAACCTCAAATACAATTAGCAAGACTGTTTCCCTCCACCCAAATAATATGAATATTATACAGGCTAATATATTTTATGTATTTTATTTCTCTTGACCTACCTAACCGTCATCTTCTTGTCCACAATAAGTTTGAAGCAGTAGTTTATTTCCAATCCGGTAAGCTTGCAGTTCATTCCTCCACTGAATGGTGAATGCATCGCACTAGTCCTGTCTCACACTTGAAATCTGCACATTTACTCACCTATTGGTTTATTCGGCTATGCACCAAGCTCTGTGCTAAGATTGGTGGACTAAAATGAACAGCATATAACCTTAAGCCCAAGGAGTTCCTAGCTGATGATGAAAAGTCATACCAAGAAATAAGCATAATATAATGTAAATGTCATTTTTGTATGATTTACGCCTAGGATCTAGTATTGAAGAAGGAGTCATGCCCTGGCTAGGTTATTGGGGTTTTTTGTTTTGTTTTTGTTTTTGTTTTTGTTTTCACTGTGGAATTTCCCAGATGAGCTATTGGAAATTGTCAAAACTCAAGCTGTAGGTGAAACCTAGAGCTGTTTTCGAAGACAAAAATACCATGTCCCATTACAATGCATGTACACAGACAAAACTCTAACAGCCCAACAAGAAAAACAGAGGCTTAATGGTCACCAGAAATGGGTCTGAATAGTACAGTAGACTAGCAAGAAGCCAATACCTAAGAAAGAGCTGGTATATGGACATCAAACTCAAAAGCTGAGGGATAAGTACCCTTACTTACTTGAAATAAAAATGCTGCTGTTCACAGCTTCCCTTTTCAAGCTAACCTGCTTATAGGGGTAAACCAGTTCGAACCTGAGAACTGAGACAGAATAGACAAATGTTAATATTTGGAATCCATAAAGAAATGCCTTCTTATACTATTGTTTTTTAACAAGTATTTCTTACAATACACACATTATGTCTGGGTACCAGATTATTGACTGCCATTTCATTCAAACTGAAGTAGATAAAAATGTGTATCATTTGATTTTTTTTTTACATTCAAAAAATTTTGTTAATGTTTTAAGTATTCTTAAGAGAGGGAGAGAGAGTCAGAGCATGAGCGGGTGAGGGGTTGAGCCAGAGGGACACAGAATCCAAAGCAGGCTCCAGGCTCTGAGCTATCAGCACAGAGCCTGATGCGGGGCTCAAACTCACAAGCTGTGAGATCATGACCTGAGCCAAAGTCAGATGCTTAACCAACTGAGCCACCCAGGCACCCCTATTTCATCTTTTTATTTTTTTCCCATGAAAAAATTTACCAACTTGAAAGGATAGTTGCCTTTATAGATGCATTTTAGACGTGCAGTACATTTTTATTTAATCCTTCCATGAGGAGAGCTCAAGGCCTATTTCTCTCTGTTTCCTCCAGATATGTTCAAATCTATGCATATCTCTCCAAATTTATAAAACTCATATATTCCAGGAAACATGGAATAATTCTCTGAGGAACTGTAATACAGTAAAAAAAAAAAAAAAATGTAGATTTTGGTCTTTGTTACCTGGTCTTGATACAGAGCTGCTAAAGCCTTTGAATGTCTCATTGATAGGCGACTCCTTTGTTGTGCATAATGAACCCTTTTTGACCATCCCAGAGTTTATGCTAATATGATGACTCTTGGTGGGTCCCTAGATAGCTTCAGTATGGGAGCTGGTCACCAGAGATAACCAAGAGATTAGATGGTTAGAAATTTCAGCCCTATCCCCAGCCTTGGGGAGGGGAGAGGGCCCAGAAACTGAGTTCAATCACAAATGGCCAGAGCTCTAATTAATCATGACTATATAATGAAAATTAGATTAAAATCTCTGAAACAGTGAGGGGAAGGGAGCTTCTGGGCTGGTGAACACATCCATGTGCCAGGAGGTGGCACATCCCACTTCCCAGGGAACAGAGGCCACTGCACTTGGGACTCTTCTGGACCTGCCTGTTCATTTTTATTCTTTATAATAAACTTTAAGAGTATGGCTAGCACTTTCCTATATTCTATAAATTAGTCTAGCAAATGATTGAACCTGAGGGGAAGTCATGGGAGCCCCTGAATTTAGAGCTGTCCAGACAGAAGTATAGTCTCCTAGGTAGTCATCTGAAGTGAGAGAAGTGATATCGAGCCTTTATTGGGTCTGCATCAACTATGTGTAGTTAGAGTCAGTATATAATTGAATTCTAGGGCATCTTGGGGATGTCAGAGAATTGGAGGATTTTTGTTTGGAAAACCATGGAGAAATGGGGATGCAGTGATAGACCAATAGGAGACATTACCTTAGAGAGATAAGGCTGTTAACTATGGCAATGTTCATTTGGGGAAAAAAAAAAAGTTAATTTTATCAGAATCAGAAATGTTAATTTCATAGATTCATAAGGAGTTTCACTGAGCTCAATTTGGAAGGGCATGTAGGAAAACAAATGAAAGCAGAGCTAACAGTTTTATCCCTCCATGTGGTAGAGAAGAAAAGGAAACCATTCAGTGAGCAGTTCAAGGTTTTCAACATTCAGCAGTGTCTACATTGAACAAGAGCAGAATGGAAAAGGAACATCAGAGGAAGCAGCATCGGGGCTCACTGCTGCTGGAATACAGATGGTAGAGAGGAATTTCTTTTGCAATTACAGTCCTAGGAAATTCAAAAAGTAGAGGAAAACAAAGTTTTAGAGGAGAAGGAGCAAAAAAAAAAAAAAATCTAGGCGTGGAGGCTCCTGAGGACACAGATTTTGGAAGTTTCAGCAACATCCCCCAGTCAGAGATACCCGAATGTAAGTCCCCAACTAGGACAAGTCTTGTCTAGCCTTGTCACTCCAAGGGACCTTTCTGCCCTGGAGGAAGGAGGGCACGGACTCGCAGAATTCCTGCAAAGAAGACGGACTCGTTATGTTGAAATATTAAATAAGCCTCAGTTCTTTGTGAGGTTGGAGAGATGCAAAGCTAGTATCAAGCACTCAAGATTGATTCAAGATCAGGTCCTAATATCCAGAGAGAGTAGATGCTGTTTTCTAACAATGAGAATTCATTCAACTTGCATGGCACATGAAATCAGGAATTCGAGGGAGACATGAATACAAGCGATCTTTAATATGCAGATTGGTCACGAAGAAAAAGAATAAACACCATAAAAGAGCAGTTGCCAGGGAAAATATAAGTTTTTAAGAAGACTGGACTACGTAAGATACTACAAAATGTCTGTCTTGATCGTTGTTTCCACCAGGTATGGTAAATACTGTAATAAAAGCCTCTTAGTGGAATGTTTCTCCCTAGAGGATTGTAAACGAATATCGCAGGATATTCTGAGCATTCACAGATCACTATCCTGGCAAAAGGTGAAAAAAAATCACAATTCGTCTCTAATTTTCCTCTTTGTGATCCTCCAGGAGAAAAAAAATGCACAGAAAAATACCATACACACATCACATCATCATAACAATAACAAAACAACATCAATTAAATTTCAATTAAAACCTGAATAAGATCAGAAGACAGAATCCCAACCAAGCAAATATGTGAATGAGATACATTTTCCTAGGAGCAATTAGGCAATGAAGAAAATGAAAAAAGGTATTTTTAGAAGGTAATTTCTTCAAGATACTACAGGTAAATTGTGTTCTATCAATTGATGATTCATTCCCTTAATTGTTAAGGAAATCGGAGAGCAAAACTTGATAATATTTTCATATGTTTTGCTCTGGAGTAAATTGGTATAGAAGACAGAACCTGAGCGAGGTCTTGTTTCCTATTCCACATAGCTCATCCCTTTCCTGTGAAGTGGGTTTCCTACTCAGTTGAGGGTGCATGAGAAGAACGTCATAAAGGGGGAAACAAGAGAGAGCTGACAGGAAGACAGGCAGAAAATATTTGAAAATAGTGTATAACCAATCTTCTGGACCTGCACTCTACATGTTTTTTATTGAATCTGCACGTATTTTCTCTCTTTTATCATTTTTTTCCTTTTTTTTGAATCTGCCCATATTTTTGACTTTGTGCTTGTCTGTGCAATTAAGTAAAAGTGGGAATACACTAGTCAGATGCCTGTGGTGAATGATGCTGAGATGTGAGAAGCAGAGAAGGGCACTAGGTATTTAGCAAATCTTCAAAAATTGATATACTGTATCTCTATTATGTTTGTGCTTTAGCAAAGAGATGGGCATACGTTGTTCTATGTTATTGGAAAATTAGTTGGAAAACCATCTAGCGAGGCTCCCGCAGTTCCATTATGGATCACTTTGATTGGTATCGATTATATTTTTACCTAATAGTCAGTGTGCAAAAAGTATGTTGTTTCTTTTTTCAAGTTTATTTTATTTTGAGAGAGAGGGGATGGGGGAGGGGCAGGGAGAGAGGGAGAGAGAGAGAGAGAGAGAGAGAGAACGCAGAGTCACCAAGGAGCCTGACGTAGGGCTCGAACTCACAAACCATGAGATCATGACCTGAGCCAAAACCAAGAGTCAGACGCTTAACCAACTGAGCCACACAGATGCCCCAGTATCTTTTCTTTTCTTTTCTTTTTTCTTTTCTTTTCTTTTCTTTTCTTTTCTTTTCTTTTCTTTTCTTTTCTCTTTTCTTTTCTTTTCTTTTTTTGTTTTTTGTTTTTTTACAAAAGTCTGTTAATATAAAATTTGGCCAAATCAGGACTAGAATTCCCACTTCCCAGATGAAAGCCTCAGACACTGCGTGGGGATTTGGCTAACTGATCGAAATTTGTTCGAAGGATTGACTTCCAGCGCCAATCTCCTCCACTACAAATAGTTAATTTGACCTTGTGTACCTTGAATATATTCAGGTCAGCAGTCTTTAAATACTTTGCTCAGAGTAGACAGAAAGTATCATTTACTTGCCACGGTAGCTTCACTGTTGAAAGTGAAGCTTCCTCTCTTCTTTGCTGAAGTGTGATGGGCGAGCAGCTCAGCCCTGAGCAGTCCGTGTGGGGAGTACTGCCTCTGAAGAAAAACAAAAGAAAAACCATCAGTTGGCTCCATCCACGCCTCCAAACCATATCCCCCTCTTATTTCCTCTGCAGTATTTCAAAACAAATTTGATATTCCTTGACATTTAAATAGTAAGATTGTATTTTAGTAAAGCTTTTTTCTTCACACAGCATCCATCATATTTTTGTTCTACTCTAGGGATATAATAGATGAAATAGAGTTGAAGAGAGAAGTTTTAGTAAAAAAGAAACCACACGCACACCCACACGCACACACACACATCCATGCAATGAAATCCCTTCATCTGCAGGCTCCTTCTACAACTGACATGAAGTGAACCTTCTGAATAGATTCTGTAGTAGTTTTGTACAAGAAGATTTCCAGGGGCTTGATTTTTGTTAGTTTCATTATGCTGAATGCTCTTAAACAGTTTCACGGTAAAATAACACGAAATCTCAGGTTAACCATGGTAAAAACTAGCATACTATCGAATAGTCTTATAGGATTCCTTAAACAATACAGTTTCAAGCTAGTCTTGGTCAAAGGGAATGCATGAAAATGCAATTTTTATTGGGATGCTGAGAGAAACAGAGAATCATGTTATTTTATGATCAGCTTTTCATCACAAAATCAATTGTTCTACTAACAATTTTCCATAGCAGGTTTTTGAGAATATTATATTAGGAGTATCTTTTTGTTCCTTTTCTCATGCACGGCTAGCAATGTTGTCTACATTCCACAAAGATGAGCATATGGCTGGCTGTCAACATCAGATCTGTTTTCTTTGAATTGCTCACAAAAAGAGTTAGTTTGGAATCATGCACATTTATATATTAAAAGTAAAACAAAGTTAAACACTAAGGTGGGCAAAAAGAAGTTTCAATGCAAAGAATGGCAGAGTTGTAGATGGATTGTGCCAATATGACTTTGTTCCCATTAATGGGGTCTCTCCCTAATAATCTTTCCCCATTTTTGCTGATCTCAGTAGGAGTCCACTCTTGCATAAAATGATGTGACACTTTTTTTTTTAACCCTTTGCATTTGGTAAATCAAGGTAAAATTATTCAAATAGGTACATTAAACAATTAGGGACAAGTAGTATTTAACCCAGCATATCCTACCTCTAAAATATTTCACATTGTTATATTTGTCATTGCCCTAACTGTTGTCTTTGCTATACCCACTATTAGTATTTTTCGTAGCTATAGGATGTATTAATTTACCATCCTTGTCTCCTACCTTTCTATAATTTGTTCACTGTATTAACTCAGTGAAAATACTACTTTTAATGAAAGTTTAATTTAACTCAGTTAAGAAATGTTTACTGATAACTGATTAGTTAGTGCTGTTTTTGCATTTGGAGACTAAACATGTAGCCTAGATACTTCCTTATTCTTCAACAATTGCAATATAGTTAAAATATAGGACAGATACCTGCAGCATGTGTAATGAATGCTAAAAAAAAAAAAAAAAAAAGTTCATACAAATTGATAGGGTAGATACTAGAGAACTTATCTTGATCTGCAACCCCAAACAAAACTTGATATTCTTATAATTAATCTTGTTTAAGTTTACTAAGTACATGCTCACATTAATTTAATACATACAGAATATGCAAAGACCATGAGATATAGGTCAACAACAAATTGTTAGAAAACACATTGTCTACATTTGACAAATGGTAAGTACTCTGGTTTTTTGGCATAGATTACAGGCAAGGTGAGTGAATATAGTAGCTGCTAGGAATGCTTTAACTACTAATGACCTTCAAAACCGTAAGCGTCGATCTCTCTATTACTCTTGTTATTATTAGAGATTTCGGTGTAGGTAAATTGCACCTTGAACACTGCATTCTCTGTATTAGTAAATTCATTTGGTAGAATGTGTTGGATAGTTGTGTCATGTATAGGTGCCAGCTGTTGTAATGGAAGACGGAGGAGAAAAAATGGAAATGCATCTAAATGATCAAAAACAAACCCAAACAGAGATGCGGGCTAGAGCTGAGCCAAAGAGAATAACGGCTATCCAAATGACAAACTAAGAGGCTGTAAGAAATCAGTTACAGTTCAGATGACTGCAAGGGGCACTTGTGGAAGACGGGGCTGGTGTCCCTCCCGGTCCCTTCGCATGCTCGGGCACCCAGCGCCAGCTGCGGTGATTGTCCCGGACTGATAACAGATCATAGCTCCTCTCTTCTCCAGACATCCTTGGCAGAAGGGGGGCAGCTTCACTGCACAGACTACACCCCCTCAGGGGGGAATGCTCCTCGAGTGACTGACTGACAAGGAGGTGCAGAACCTCAAGGCTCCAGCCTTGCTTCAAGCTGGAACGAGCTGTGGGGTGCACTTGATCTACAGACCTTCTCAGTGGAATCAAGTGACAGTTTTTCTTCACTGGGACCATATTCCTGGCTCAGCTTTCTCTCCTTGGCACCATCATTTTTCACTCCACCTCTGCAAGAACCCCTAAAAGTCACCAGCAGACGAACCACACCAGCGTCTGCTTCCAAGGAACATACCCACACCTCACTGACGCTGACTTTGCCAGGGCACGCGGGAAGGCTTTCCCTCTTGTCCCTCTACAGGTTTCTACGGCTGTCTTCCAAGTGCACGTGACCGTACCGACTCTCTGGTCATGGCAAGCTCTGAATAAATAGTTTCTGTCCGCTCTTATTTGGGTTTGGTCTCTTTATTTCCACAGCAGAAATGAAAGCAAAGGGGTCCCTGGAAGTCACACCAAGTTCAAAGTCGATGAGAAGAACTTAGTCCTTATCTAGGCAATGGTTTTGAGAGAAAGGTTGAAGTCATTGCAAGATCATGAGGAAGTGAAAGACCTTACCACTCCTTCTGCATGTGAAGTTCCCCAGCAGGCGTGTTTTCAGGTAAGATGTTTTATATGTTCCTATTAATTAAGCCAAAACTGTATTTCGTCTCAAATACAATTATCTGAATGTGCGCTTGATGTCTTCCCTAGCTCAAATAGTCTAATATGTCATTTAAAGTGTATCGTTAGAGATATCCTAGACTTTGATTTTTGTTTTCTATTTTTTACCCCATCTGAATGATTTTAGTGTGAACTGATAAGCATGCAATCCCCCTCCCCTGTTGCCGTGTTAGGTCTCTTACCATGGGATTCTGAGATAGAAGGGCACAGACTCATGTAAATATAGAGAAACTTGGTTTTGTGTACAGCAGACTTACTGTCGTAGGTAAAAAGTCAAATATTAAGATTTGTTTTTACCTATCTGAATTTCTTGTCTTCTAAAAACCGCCTCACATTGAAAAGAAATCCATGTTGCCTTTCAGGAGAAATGATAATAACATATGGCAGCTGGTATCAGATGTGGATATGGGTACATTTCTGTTACTGGGGCTCGGAAAGGCTGCACAAGAATGACTAGTTTCGCGAATAGATGGTAGGATTTCTGGCTGTGATATTGACTGATTGTGCTGTTGACTCCTGGGAGTACATCCTCTTCATGGTGGGGAAGGGACCACATGTTTGCTTCCCGAGCTTCTTTGGACATGATTGCTGCTTGCGATTTTTTTCCTCTTTAATCAGGTACATGACTTACACTTTAACACACACATAAAAATCTCTGTGGTCTAACTCTATGTTCATCTGGGTCCTTTTGTGAACATCCCGCATGAGTCCAACGGCATTGGGAAATCTTTCTGAAAATATTACTTCACAATGGGGTCTCCTTTTAGGTATATATGGAGGTTATGAAACACTGAATAGAATGATTAAAATGTTATGAATTCGAAGATAATTTATAGCTTATAAAACTGCATATTCTTCCAGAGTCTTTCCATCTAAAGGTTATCACTATATACAAACTCATTCTTCAGTGGAAAATAGTAATATGGCTTTTGAAAAATGATTTGCAGGCTTTAAAAAATGTGCATGTAAATAAATTTTATTTTAAGGACATTTTATTCAAAAAGTTTCTTAATATCTTGATAGGCTTTTAAAAGCCAGTGCCTTGGGGATAGACCATTACTAATATATATTCTATTGCGGAATTTATGTCTACTGCTTGTGAATTAAGCAAAATGCTTCTTTGAGTCTAATATATGTGACAGCTCAGGAAAATGTGCAGTGCATTCAGTGTTCTCAATTCCCATGTATTACTTGGGGAGTTTTACCAAGGATTATGAGATATAAAAGTCCCCGGACGATTTTCCTGTCATTTAAAAACTATTAATATTACAGTTATTCAAATATCATTTTAAAACGCATTCATTTAAATAGTTCTTTGTACCACAAATAAATTGTTCTGTGCAATGAAGCAACACTTTTCAACATAATTCATCTTTGCTCTGTTGACTCAGAATCAAGTTGGTACACTATATTTTCCTGGCAAAATGTTGACTCGCAATACGCCAATAAATGTGTCCTATTTTTATGCTCAAAAAGCTTTAGAAATATAGTCACTAAATAATACACACATGTGAATCTCTCATGAATGCACAGATCTCTTAGTAAATTTTATCTGAAATTAATGTATAATCTATTTGGTTAAAATCTGTTTGAAATGGAATTTAGATTCCTGATTCTGTATAACCCCAAACTCATTATTTTGTGATGTTTTTCACTTAAAAAAAATTGCTGCAAGCACATAGTCCAAGATTTATGATATTTTAACTGGCAATGCCAAAAACATAGGACAGGAGAAAATTACCTGTATTAAAAATTATACTTCTGTATGTTATCTCTCTCTCTCTCTCTCTCTCTCTCTCTATATATATATATATATATATATATACACACACACACACACACACACACACACACACACACACATTTTAGTCAAAAGGATGCAGAACTGAAACATTAATATTTACTTCTTTTTAAAAAATGTTTATTTGAGAGAGAGAGAGAGAGAGAGAGAGAGAGAGAGAAAGCATGAGAGGGGGCAGGGCAGAGAGAGAGAGAGACACAGGATCCAAAGCTGGCTCTGTGCTGACAGTATAGAGCCCAATGTGGGGCTTGAACTCACAAACCGTGAGATCATGACCTGAGCCAAGATCAAGGGTCAGACGCTTAACTGACTGAGCCACCCAGATGCCCCAAACAATAGTATTTACTTCTTATTATTGTTATTTAACCCAGCCTTGATTTCAGTAGGAATTGCCTTGGGAACACCTGCCTTTGGCAGTCCCTCAGCCCATACTTCTTCACTGCTTCTAGAATTACTCAAGGATTAAAAAAATATATTTAGAGGTAAACATATGACTTCTAAGTCATATTCGTAGGATAGCATGACACAAGAAATTTCCTTTTGAATTTTAATGGAAAATGTTATTATTACCACAAAAATGTGGGCCCTTAGTAGCTGAGGAATGGATTGGAGTTGTTGATCATACCCTTATTCTTCCAATCATCTTCCTCCTCTACATGTATACGAGTTACCTTCTTATCCTTTTGTTTTTAAACATGTTTGTATCAATTCAGAATATATGCTATGTACTATTAATTATTAGTAGTAATAATGTGATTTGGGATTTTTCTGCATGGGACACTTTTCTCTATTCCATTTATTGATTCCATTATTTATTTATATCAATATGGAGAAACGAATATTAATCTTATGCTTTGGGTACATAACCCAATACTGCTTTATTCTGGAATGATTATTCCAGATATGGCTGTTGGAAGCACTTTCAATTAGCTCCTGTACCCTTGACATACTTCTGCCTGTGTGTGTGTGTGTGTGTGTGTGTGTGTGTGTGTGTGTGTGTGTGTCTGCGTTAGAAGTTCCTCACTCTCTGGCACTAAAAAGTGCTTCAGGATCATCTTGCATATTCCCTGCCCAAGTGCTAGAATCCGCACTTTCTCCAAAGGCCCTGGGTCCTTGTAATGGCATGAGAAATGAAGATACAGGCTCTATTGTGCTCACTGCTACCATGTGTTGTCGCTTATAGGCCCTGAGCTGACAAGGTAAAGAAGTAAGTGTGTATACTTAACCTATTTACACATATATTTGTAAATAATTTTACATGTAAGCATTTATATCTGTGTTAAACTAAACATGAACTTTTGAATTTGTGAGCATTGTGAGCATTATGTTCATAGATTTTTTTAGGGGTGGTCTGGGTTTTTTGGGGGAGTGGGGTTATTTATTTATTTATTTATTGTCCTGTTAACATCCATGAGATCATAGCAATGGCCCCTCTTTCATTTCTGATATTAGTAATCTCTACTTTTCTCTTTTTTTTTCTTGATGAGCCTGGATATAGCTTTATCAATTTCATTGATCTTTTTAGGAACCTGCCTTTGATTTGGATGCTGTTTCTCTATTACTTTTTTAATCACACTGATTTTGGCTCTAATGTTTATTTTCTTTCATATGCTCGCTTTAGGCTTGAATTACTGTTCTTTCTCTAGTTTGCGAAGGTAGAAACTTAATTTACATTCCCCTTCCCTGCTAGAGGCACGTGAGAATTATTCTTGGTTCTTCATCATAAGAATCTGCGTGAGGGTTGGGGGCGTCATGAAAGGAAAACCCATGAAAGTGTGAAGGCTGCCCAAGACTGGATGGGATCCCTAGAAGCCATTCTCCAAATTCATTAATTAAAGGTGCCTACATTTGTCACATGCCTAATTTCATCAGTGCCATAACTAAGTGTGGCTGAGTTTTCCCAGGTCTCGCCTGATTTCTGGTCCTTCCCAGGTCTGTGGTCCTTCTCATTGTGGATGAGCCCATATGTGTATACACCGTCTCTGCTGTAAATGTGTACATGCTGCCTCTTCCATAATGGAAAAGTCAACCATCAGTATGGAAATTCCGCACCCATAGTGGTGCCACCTGCTGGTTGATGAGTAGGTTTTCTTTTTTTGCCCCTTTTCTTTCTCCTTTTTCAAGTTAAAAATGATCATTAGTGGCCCTGTTTTATGTCTTTATGTGTTCTTGGAGAATATTTAAAACTCCTACTTATCCTCTCAAGAGTTTTGCATTTGTCTAAATGAGTAAATCCTTGGCAGCAGTGTTTCCTTAGGTTTGTTTTTTGTTTCTTTCACATTGTGTAGTGTAGGTGGAGTTCAGCCGTGTACTTTTCATTATTATGCCGACTATATTAGCAACAATGATATGGAGAGCAGACTCAAGACTATCTGTTCATTTTATGCTTCATTGAGTAGGTAATGGACTCGTTGATAGATTTGTGCTGCTTAAAAATCCTCCCATGGTTTCTGAGTTTGGACTATACAACAATGTATCATGACAGATGCCTTGTTGAAAGAGTGGTAATGGAACTTCCATCTACTCACTTTCCTTGGGAAGTAGATAGGTTAAAAACAAATATTCATACCTATTTTGAACACTGAGACACAATTTTCAGCTAATATTTGGAGGCTGAAAAGTAATTAGAGGTAATTGCAGAATTGTAGATTGTGAATGATGGATAACTGTATCACACATGAGATTCAATCCTAGATGGCTTTTAGAATGAAACTTTTCAAATATGTTTAAATGCACAGATTTAAGTGTCTAGAAAGCATCACACAAATAAACTATAAAGAAATATCAGATGCGTAGGGTATAATACATCAAATCAAAATGCCAAACTCACTTATTCTTCTGTATTACCCTGAGAAGGCCCTCGGATACAAAAACACATATTGCAGGGTGAAAAATGTGCCTATGACTTGTCTTATGCCACCAGTTAGAATTTACAAGTTTATAAGGGGATCAGTTGAATGGACTTTTAATTTATAATTTATATACATACATAAATTTATAAATATATATGAATTCATATATGCATATGTCTATATAAACGGAAACATATAGCAATTTCAAAATGATGTCAGTTTTGTTACGATCAAAGAGAAAATGTAAAAAAAAAAAAAAAGAAAATGCAAAGCCAAATGTTAACA